ATATAGAACATGTTACAGATATAGTTGGTTTAAGTTAAGACTCCCGTGTAAATAGATTACAACTGTCCTATGTTTAAACTATCCTATCTATGGGAGTCCTAACCGAACCAGCTATGTACAACTCCAAGAATATCTCTAACACGGTGCTGTCGCGGGATGGAGCGCGTCGCACGGGCGCCGGGGGCACGTGCATTCGCGCGAGGGAAGGAGGGCGCCTGCTGGCCGGCGATCGGACGCCTGGCAGCGGCGGCGACGCGGTCTCAGATGGAGACGCGCGCTATTAGCGGAAACGAAAACAGAAAAGGAACGTAACCTCTCGTGATACCATGATAGAGAATAATTTGGGGAATTCTCCTTAATTATTGTGATGAGTCAGTGTACATATATATATATATAGGCATGGTGTGGACATACCCACTTGCCATATTACATTCCAACATATATAATCCGTACGAGGGAATTGACTTCTCATACATGCGATCCAAAAACATCACTGTAACCATTACGATTTGATTTGACAGCCTTCGTTCGTTAACACCGAGGAGGGAAATTATCACCAGACGATTACTCTCCCAACAAGGCTGCTTTGTCTTGCTGTCAGGGAGTACCTGCTGCAGTTCAGCAGGAGGGGGGCACAGTACCACAGCACTCTGCTGCCGCTAGTTGTCGCCGCTGCAGAGCAGAACGCAGGTGGCGCCTGGTTGTTCGTCGCTGTTGTTGCAAGTAACAGTGCCGTGGAACGGATGCACGCAGATGGCAACTCCTTAACTAACAGCCTTACCAGCGTCGATGATGTTGCTACCCACCACATGCATGCATCTAAACTAGCTACCTGCTGCATCCAACTCTCTGCCCCTTCTTTTCTCGTGAACACAATTTGCTCCATCGAGAGGCCGGCCATGCATGGACAATCTTATATGGATGGATGGACGGATGGATCTATGTTGTTCAACTGTTCGCCGGTAAGCATAAGATGGGCTACTCATGTAGACGTCTAAACAGATAGACGGCAACTCGTTAACAACCTAACCACTAACCAGCTAGCTAGATATGATCTACGACAGCCTACATGCATCTAAACTGTTTTTAGGGACATCATCGTCAGGAAGAAACTGTAAGGCCCTATTTTGCACGGTTCCGAACAGCTCGCCAGAGCCAGTGAGGTGAAAAAGTCTTCATCGGTTTCTACTTCACTTTAAGAGGAGAGATAAAAACTACTCTTTACTACAATGGACACACCAATCGACTGCCTAAATTTGCATGCAGGTGTACTCTCGGGACAGTTAGCACAAGAGAGTGAGTGGGCCATGGATCGTGGATGGATAGCTTCAGCGTTCAGTGCCTGCCTGAATATTGTTCAGCTGTTTCAGCCAAGCCAAACCGACGCAAGGAGAAGGCCGGCGGCGGTTAAGACTTAAGACCTACGAAGACCCCAACCCGGAAGCTGATTAATTCGCTTGTGGAATGATTTGGTATGCTTGCTGGTTGGTGTGTGAGTGAGAAGAGCACTACTCCACACACAGTGTGACCCAATAATGATTGCCATCTTCTGTTATCACCACCAAAACAGCAAGCAACTGCTGCTGGTTTGGTCCCTGGCCAAGTCGTTGTTCGTTCGGCAATGCAATGCAACTAACCCTGACCTGCTGTGACCTCAAGTTTGGCTCGGCTGACGGCTGGCTACACTACAGAGTACTCTGCACTGTGATGTACTGTCATGCTGCTCTGCACTTCTGCTCAAGCTCAAGCTCAAGCCATGGCTGCTGGCCGCTGCCTGGTAGCTGATGACACTGGCACCAAACTCAAATGCAGGCCCTGAGATTTGTGCCCGACGATTCCGACTCATCAGGGTTCAGGGATCGGGAAAAATGGCCATCGATGCAGGAAAGAAAGTGAGGGAGAAGGCTGATAGCTACCCTGCAGTGCATGCATGCAGCAGGTGCTAGCGCATGCGTGGAAAACCGGATCTAGAATGAATCCAGATGTTCATAAGAAAAAGTAGCAGCTACTATTTGGAAACTTTTTCTTGGAATGGATCATGGAGAATAAACTGTTTCTGGTCTGTGGCAGGGAGTGCGTATATATGTTTTAATTTGCGACAGCAAAGAAATTATCCTGAACTTGCGAATTCATGTAGATGAGAAATTAATAAGTGAAATTTACTTGCGCTACCAGATACTAGTAGTATGAACTGGGATATTTTTTTTTTCAGGTGTAAAAGGACCTTTTGAATTTTGCGTGTCAAGTGTGAACCCCTTAATTTTGGGGGAACCTTTTTTTTCCTTGTCAAACGGATTGGGCAGTTGGGGGCATAGGTCTCTTTGGAGACATCAGATAATTATTGGGGATAACAGTTTCTCAAAATAAAAATATTGGGGATAGCACATGATTTAACTCTAGAAGGCGGTCCATTTTATATCATGTTAGTCCTAAATATAGTTCCATGGAAGAATCCTCCTGGACATGTCATTTCATATAATTGTGGATAAGGTCTTAGTTAAGATTGTGTAAGGACGCAAAAAAAAAAAACATCGCACACCGTACTACTTGGTCAACATTTGTTATAATATTTTTTATTATCACAGATGGGGAATAAAATCATGTACCGAAAGATAAGCACAATCATCCCTTCATAATTTTATATTCGTTGTAGTATATATGTATATAAGTTTAGCTCCCAAAATGGAAATGGTATTGAGCTAGAAGGTGTTAATTGTTTTACATTTCTTGGCACACGCCTATTATGGAATCCTGAAATCAGTTGACCATTTCCTTGTTAAGGATTTCCTTGATAGAGGTCTAGCTTGAACTTTATTTACTTGTTTCTGTAGGACAAAATTTTGAGCTCTAACTCCCTCCATTTCAAATATAAGATATTTTCACTTTTCTAAACACATTGCTTTTACCATATATCTAGACATAGTGTATACCTAGATGCACAACAAAAATTGTATCTTGAAAAGCTAAAACGTATTATAATTTAGAATGGATGGAGTAGTATTCAGACCAAAATAAAAATGATTTGGCTCAATTACGGAACAATAATTTAAATAAATAACAGATATGGACAGGTAAATACTAGAAAAAAGAACAAATAAGATCCATTAAATCTAAATAAAAAACTAATAGATAAATTATATCATTTGGAAAAAATAATGCTAGTTTAGTATTTTTTTACTTAAAATAGATAAGTCATGATTTTTAGAGAATAAATAAGGTTTTTATTATTTTTAGAAAAAATATATAGAGAAAAACCACATTTGAAACCACCTAAATAGTCAATTTGTCCATTTTTAATAACTTGATGGTCAAAAGTATCTATTTTTTTTAGTTTGGTGGCCAAATCAAACTTTGGTGTAGTTTAATGGACAAAAAAGGTGTCGGGTTCAAAAACCCGGGGTCCCTCATGGACCTGCTTCCTAGCAAAAGCTCGGTCCAGCAGACGACGTTGCGAACGACGCGCAACTCCTGGGCCGGCCTAAATACCTGACGACAAGCCAGAAGGATGATCCAATCTCCGACTGGAAGGCCTGACCAAGGAGGAACGACGCCTGCTTCCGACTCCCGCCCGCTTCTCCGACCGGAAGGCCTCGCTTTCGACTTCGGCCCGCCTCTCCGACCGGAAGGCCTGGCTTCCGACTCCGACCCGCGTCTCCGACCGGGGATGCACCGGACCTCTGCTTACAGTTCTTTTCCGACTGTCGCAGTCGGAGCCGACTGGGACCAACCGACCGGGGACGCCCGCTCGGTGAGGACCCAGGAAACGAAGGGTGCCCTGCAACCTTCCAGGCATGTCAGAACCCAAGCGTGTAGTGGGCGCCGACATTTGCCCTACCGTGTTGTGGGCGCCATCAATTCTCATACTAGGCAAACACGGTAAAAACCCCCCACATGCCTCTGGACATCGACAGTGTTGTGGACGACGTCATTTGCCATACATGGTGAATGCGGTAAAACCTCCCACATGCGTCTGACACAAACAGTATTGTGGCCGCCTATCATCATCTTATACCCGACGGCGTGGGCAACAAGACTTAGTAGTAGACGTACTCTCTCTCTCGCTTGTAAAGCCGTCCCCTTCATCTATAAAAGGGGATGCGTCATCTCCCAATACGGACGGATCCATTCACGATCAATCTCACAAACACAGAGCACTCGCTCGAATACTTAGCGCACGATACTTAGCGCACGTAGGAGCTCCCGTCGCTCTCGGCCCTTCAGTCCGGAGTCCGACCAGACCTCTTGCACCCCCATCTTAGTCCCTTCCGTTTGTAACCCCACAACAAACTTCGAACACCTGGGCTCAGGAATAAAGTTACCGACCAACTCAAATTGAACGTAGGGCACGTTACCTGAACAAGTATAAACCCTGTGTCATTGAATGTTAGGCCACATCCGATCACAACGTACGACAAAACTATAAATATTTACGTGTTAGTCACTTTCTGCACCGACAAAGGGATTCTTTTAAAAACAATACTTTTACATTTTTGCTAAAATGTTAAGAAAAAATATTATGAGAATCGAGTTGATATCTGAATTTAAGTTATCGACTTGACAGTTTTTTAAAAAAAGTTCTTGATTTGACACGAATATTCATGCTTTCTTATAATTATTTTAGGATTTAATATTTTTTTTGTGATATATATAGGTGACGTGTCTGTCGCGAGAGGGAGAGACATCACTGATAACATATTTTTTATGATTTGTTAGCTCAGTTTTTCAAAAATGATCGTAGGAAGTAGGGTTTACATATCGGCGTTCAATTAGGTGTCCGCGTAATTTGAAGGAAAAAAAAGAGGCGCTGTAATATTCTGCCAGATAGTCAAAAATGCAGAGTGCCAAACCGTCGTCACAAAAACACAGCACGCAGCAGGGACTTGAGACGGTCTCCCATTTCGTTCTCCCTCACCTTCCCGCGTCCTCCCTACGTTTCCCAGCAACCGCCTCCGCCGCCGTGGGCGACCGGCCGCGCCCGCGGCACATGACGCGGCCCCGCGATGGGCTGCATCCTCGGTAAGCTCGCCACCGCGCCCGGGTCCTCCCTCTTCTTCCCCGCCGCCGCCGCGACCGCCGTGGGAGGAGGAGGCGACAACAAGGAGGTGCAGCTGCAGGCGCCGCAGCCGGAGCACATCGCGGCGGTGAAGAAGGACGCGTCCGGGTGGCCGCTCTGGCTCTCCGAGGCCGCCGGCGACGCGCTCCGCGGCTGGGCGCCCCGCGGTGCCGACGCCTTCCAGAAGCTCGAGAAGGTGAGAGGGCGATCCTTTCCCCCGCGCGCCCGCGCTTGCTTGATTGTTTTGTTTCCTTGGTTTAGTAGTTAATTACCGGAAAAGCTTGGCCTTTTTCATGGGAACCGGGGGTTGTTGGGGAAAGATTTCAGCTTGCCTTTCTTCTCCGTTGCTCCGATTTGTTCGTTCGTGTTTGACGTACGCGATCGCCGGTTGCGGAATTCGGCGAGTAATTTCAGTTCTTGCTTTTTCTGGTTGTCGTAATTGAGTTGTTGGCATATCATATCACCTACTCGCTGGAAGAAAAAAAAAAGGAACTCCTTTCTTTTCCTTGCTCTGAGTTCATGAGAACAATGTATATTCTTTTATGTCCTGTTATGAGTCGTAAGCATCTATAAGAGAGAAAATAACGCAAATGATGATCTCAACACATAAACAAGCTTTGAATTCCTAGAAATGGGTTCTTAAAAAAAACAGAGATGAACTAATCCCCAGCTTTTCTTCTGAGATTTTAAAAGCCCCACAGCTCCATCATTTATGTTCATACTTTATATGTTGTCCGTGTCACAAGAGTTCGTAATCCGTAAGGACGAATGGAAAAGTCAACTTGCATGCGTTCGTATTGAATTGGAGTACCTGCTAATTATCTTCTCCGGTCTTTTCAAAGAAAAACGAGTTGTTGTGGATTTTTATTTTATTTTTATTTTTTTTATAAGAACCAAGTCAATGGATTGGATCAGCGAATAGAAATAAATCAACTAAATTCCATTGCTTGCCTTGCCCAACTGGACGATTTTGATTTTATAAAAATAAAATATATCATTTATGATCTTTCTTTTGCTACTATATGCGTGCAGATTGGTTCGGGCACGTACAGTAACGTGTACAAGGCGATTGAGGTGGAGAGCGGCCGCGTGGTGGCGCTGAAGAAGGTGCGGGTGGATGGCGTCGGCGAGGCCGAGAGCGCGCGGTTCATGGCGCGGGAGATCGCCCTGCTCCGCCGCCTCGGCGACCACCCCAACGTCGTCCGCCTCAACGGCCTCGTCACCTCCCGCCTCAACACGGCGCCGTCCCTCTACCTCGTCTTCGACTACATGGAGCATGACCTGACTGGCCTCACCGCCTGCGCAACTGCCTCTGGCCGCCGCTTGTCCTTGCCTCAGGTATGTTCACTGTCATTGTGCATGGAAATTTGAGCACAGTAGTTTCCAGAGCTGAATTATAATAATCTGGTCACTGTGTGAAACGAGCAATACGAGTTATACTCATTGGTGACGCATGATAAGATTGATAACTTGGCTACCTAGGAATAGGATTCTAGACTTCTGATTGGTGATGTGGAGGGTTTAACCAATCTTTTGGTTTCCTGGTAGTCTGCGATTAGGAAACTTAACACAAAATGAACAATTGGCATCTTGCAGTTGGATTGCTTACTGCTCAGGATAGTGCGGTCAGGACTACTGTGCTTGTGACTTCAATTGCAGCAAAGGAATAGACTCTAATTGAACATGGAGTTTCTTTGCTGAAACTAAATTGCATGCGTTGTGAACTACTTAAAGTTACTATTTACTAATGGCGTAACATGCGCCATTCTAAACTTCATTTGACCCCTCTTTCGACGGAGCATAAAAGGGTACACAAGCAGGTCTCATGTGTTGGAGGGAAAAAAAAGTGAAACTGAGACATCTGTAGCGCTGTCTGAATATATTTTCAGACCTATTTGGGAGACCGAATGCTGTGTAATCGATGTAACTTCTTTCATTTGTTCTGGAAGAAGCATCATTGACTGATTATTAGCAGTGGAATTCTGCTTTAATCTTTTTGCAAGAAGCAAACAAATCCATCAGACTTGTACACCACAATGATGTGGACCTGTAAATCTGTTAGACTAAGTGAAGCAGAGTATTCCTAGGTTTGAACACAGGTGCCAGTCCAATTGACAGAGACAGGTACCGTGTGCCTTTTGTGAACTACAGTCATTTCAACCGTCAACATTGGCTGCAGTTAACTGACTGGAATGTGTCTCTGAATCTCGTTATCCTGTATAAAAAACAAGCTCTGTATTGCCGTTTGGACTAAATGGAAATGGGCCAACCTGGTTCAGTAAAAATTGACCCACTAGCATTTGAAATTGTGAAAGGTTGTCAATTACTTTCTTTTTCTGAAAAGGAAGGGTCCAACTATGAGATGTTTTCCAGATACATGGTTACTGACAAATGTATGCCTTGTTTTTTAATTACATGTTTGTACTCATGAAGCGTATTTCCTCGTTTGCAGGTGAAGTGCTTCATGAAACAGTTACTTTCCGGGATTGAACACTGTCATAACAATGGTGTTCTGCACCGTGACATCAAGACCTCGAACTTACTTGTCAGCAGCGATGGAATTCTTAAAATAGCTGACTTTGGACTTGCCACCTCTTATGATGCTGAGAACGTGCGGCCCATGACTAGCCAAGTGATTACGCTTTGGTATCGTCCACCTGAACTCTTGTTAGGAGCAACTCACTATGGTGTCGGTGTTGATCTTTGGAGTGTGGGTTGCATATTGGCAGAATTGCTTCTTGGCGAGCCGATATTCCCCGGAAGAACAGAGGTACTTGGTTTGGTCTAGCTGAAATGTGTCTTGGATATGCAGGGTATCATTTGGTTTGTCTATTAACAAGTGGTTTGTTTAGGTGGAACAATTGCACAAGGTTTTCAAGTTATGTGGTACTCCATCAGAGGATTACTGGGAGAAAATGATGTTCGCTCATCCTACATTCAAACCATATCAACGGTGCCTAGCTGAAAAATTTAAAGATGTGCCACCATCTACCCTATCACTTCTCGAGACACTCCTATCGATTGACCCAGATATGAGAGGCACTGCAACTGATGCTCTGAACAGTGAGGTTAAATACTACCCTATCACCCTCAAGGCGTCTAAAATGAACTGCTGCATCAAACAAATACAAAAAAATAAAAGATAAATTATGACCAGACATTATGCAAAAGAATAATCTACATCTGATCATGATTGCACGGATTAGGGTAATTTGCATTCGTGTATCGTAGAGATCAATTTTTTAGTTGGAAACAAATAAGTGGTCCTTTGTTCAGCTGTTCTTATCAAGTTATTATTTTTTGTGGATTCAGTTCTTCATGACAGAACCATATGCCTGTGAACCATCGAGCCTTCCACGCTATCCACCATGCAAAGAAAGAGACGTGAAGTTGAAGTATGAGAAGCATAAAAGGTTTGGTGCTACTCTTTGTATTTATTGTAGATATTTTCTTTTGTTCATGGAAAGCTTCAACGTGTGGTTCTTTTTCAGGAAGTCGAGGGTTAATGGGTCAGTAGAACGTCACAGAAACCGACAGCACGCATCACAAAATCCTGGGCGCAGAGTTTTTACTCCAGATGCCAATAATAAGCCGCAAGCAAATCCAAAGGTGCATATGTTTTCCCCCTTTTCTTCTGCAAGAATTTGATTCAAACCTCAACATCATCATGCTCAAATTTCCACCACTCCTGGCAATGTTTGCATCAATATTTTTACATCAAAAGCTATATTCAAGCAACTATGTAGACACAGAAAACACAAATAAACGGTGAAATGTGTTAATTTAATCTTCAGGTACCAAGGTTGGTGACAAGCACAAGCACAACCAAACTTGAGAGATTTCCTCCGCCTCATTTGGATGCGTCGATTGGTTATAGTTTAGATTCATTGGCTGATGGAGCCACAGAAGAATTCTTCTCGTCATCAGTTGTTGAGCTAAAGAAAATGCCAAGTCTAATATTTGGTCACGGGAAGTCTTACCTGAATAGCCCAAAGAAGGGCATGCACAAGGCAAAACCAGACCTCAACATGGCGCCTTCAACCGTTCTCATTGGTGCATTCCGGCCTTATTCATTTGGGCAGCCAATGGAAGTGAGAAGAAAGAATAGGGAGCAATTCAGAAGCAAAGGAAGAAATGCAGTAGGTGCAGTCAAGTGACATCCTAATCATGTTACCTTTTTTTGCCCTTTACCCTTTTATAGATGCTAGATAGTAGCCTGTGAATTCCAACCACAGTTGATAGGTTTTACCTTGTATAGTTAGAGAGTACTATAAACTAGAGTTGTGTATAATGCATTTATTCTGTATAATGGATCACCTGCAACAGAGACCAAGATCTGAGAACACCCTCACAAATTTGTATCTTCAACCTCTGCATCGAAATCAGAGGGAAAAGAAAAGGAAAGGGTCAAGGGGATTGTTAAAACACTTGCACATGATCTTAATCTTGCGCAAACGTTTCTGCTACATGAGCACGCAGAATTCAAAAGTACACATAATCAAATTACGCAAAGCTTGGATGGATTTCCAGATTGCCCTCCTTTCCCAACACTAATTTGTATTTTCTCTACAACAGGAGCAGTCCAGAGCTGATGCTCCTTGCACCATTTACAGAATCAGCTTCTCGAATACGGGGTTAGCTTACGACAACTAACCAAGGTTGAAAAATAACAGCAAGTGATGCAAGGCTAGCATCAATGCATCATAAACGATGACTGAATGAGCCATGCGTGTGTGTTTTTACAAGCTGAGACGTAGTAAAATGTAGAAGATCCCATACAGCGCTGCCTGATCAGGGTTGAGAGCTTGCAGCTGAAGCGGCAGCAGGAGGTGGCGAAGGTTTGCTTCTTTGTCGGCTGAACAAGTTGTGCCAAGCAGCAGCGACGACCGACAAGCCACTGAACCTAAGCCATCTGTTTCCCTCTTTAGGTTGGGAAACCTGCATATTAATTAATTTATCAGCAATTAGCAGATGTAATATATCTCTATATACCACAGCAGACAGCTGCGAGTGCAGAGCAATTTTAGCAGATGTAATACATGACATGGATCATGTACCTCGTTGGAGTCGTGTGGCTTGGTCGCCGAGATTTCGCTCCTATTGCTCAGCTGACGCGCCGTCGCTGCAGAGGAGGAGAGAAGGATGGTTCGAGAAGTGTCAGCGTCAATGGAGCTCACGATACGACAAGCAAGGAGGGGAGAGCTAGCTGTGCGCGAATTAAGTTGAAGTACCTTTGATCCTGACGGAGCCGTCGCTGTTGTCGGCGTCGAACACGATCTTGTCGACGGCAGCCGTCTTCTTCTGGCAGTAGTACCGGAAGCTCGGCGAGCCGGGCATCGGCGGGAGCGCGGCGGTCCCCTCCTCTAGCTCCTTGGGCTCCGGGAGCCACCTTGCACCCTCGCCTCCTGCCCCCGGACCCCGACGACGACTCCGCCTCCTGCCCCTGCCCTTCCTACTGCTGCTGCGGCGGCGGCGCCAGCAGACCCGAGGTGGACGCCTCGCTGTGCCCCAGCGCCCGCGCCCGCGCCCACCCTCGCCGCCGGGGCTCGGCCCCGTCGGCGGTCGACGCCGCGCACCCCATCGCGGCCGCGGCCAGCGTGGGGGAGGGGGGCGCCGGTGAGAGCGAGGGCGTGCGTGAGCGGGAGCGCGGTCGAGAGCCGGAGCGCGGGGTGGTCGGGAAGGATGGCGTCCCATGCCGCGCCGCGCGGCCGGCCTTAGTAGGGAGGCGCGCGCGAGGTGGTTTCGACCGTTGCGGCCGGCCAGCGGCGGCGCGGGCTTCTCGGGGCGGGGCGGGGCCCAAATTTGGCGGCCTGATGGCTGATGATGCCAGCAGGGTCCCACCTGGCAGAGATCCCACTCCTACTAAGACGGGCTTCGTTGGGCCTGATGGGCTGTCCAGAGATGAACGAGCGCAAATGGAGCCCACTTCAGCTATGGTCCTTTGGGCCTCGAAACTGTTAGACTGACCAATTCTCGATCATACCTGTCATAAGCAACAGAACCCAAACCTCGCCGATTTTCGCTCCCCTCGGACCTCCTCACCGCGCGCGTACGCCGCCGCTGCTAACCTCACCTCACCGAACCCTAAACCCCCTGAGGGCCGCCGCTCCGGGCGGGACCCTTGGCGTCGCCGGAGCCCCCGCAGCCGGGGCGAGCGGCGGAGGAACCCGGAAAGCGATCCCCCCTCCCCTTCCCTTACCTGGGGAGGGAGAAACTAGCGGAGGAGGCGAATCAGGTCAGAGGGGGGCACGATGAGGATCATGATCAAGGGAGGCGTGTGGAAGAACACGGAGGACGAGATCCTCAAGGCGGCCGTGATGAAGTACGGCAAGAACCAGTGGGCGCGCATCTCGTCGCTGCTCGTCCGCAAGTCCGCCAAGCAGTGCAAGGCCCGCTGGTACGAGTGGCTCGATCCGTCCATCAAGAAGGTAACCGACTACTCGCCTCTCTCACTGACCTGTCTGTCCTCTATCGGCAGACTAGCCTCGCCGCTCGGTCGCCGTTCTGTTACTGATTTTTGGCGGTGTTTGGAGTGTCATTCTGCTAAGGATTTAGCAACCACGTTTAGAAAAGGTAATGACTTATAATGCTTAATACATGACCTAGTTCTTAGCGATTTAGTGTCATGACCTAGTTCCCTTTATGCTAGGGGTGGGGGGGTGGGGGATGGTTTTTCTATGCATTTATGCAATGGAACGAACAACAGCAAGATTTATGCTCTATGAACTTTGATTAGTATGCTGGTTTTCGATTGTGACAATCTCTATCGTTAGATGACTCAAGTGTTATCCTTTCACAAGCATTTGAACTGGCGAACTTTGGAATCAGATAAAAGAATATCGGCTTTCAGCTTGAATATCTTGAGTTGCAAATTGGCGGTAATACAGAATATCGGCATCTTGCTTTAGCAAGTTATTGATTCTAATGCATTTTGGAGCCAGAATGCCAGATAACAAATTACTATCTTTTGGTTGTGTCTTGATAAGCATCCATGTTTATATCAATATATCATATGGATTTTACATCGTCTCATAACATCTATTATTTCTACTAGATAACATACATTTCAACATAGATATTAACTGAATGAAAGTTTTTACAGTCTAGTGGTCACTATATAACTGGACTAAGCACCTGAATCATTTTTTCTTGCCAAAAGAGAAATTTTGCACTGTTTTAAATAAAATTTGATAGTTTGGTTGTGAGAAATGTCTATAGCAGATGTTAACTACTTCATAAAGTTGATTTTGATTGTAGAAGGTTTGGTCCGCTGGGGAGATACTTTATTTTATCTGAAATTATGCTGAAGGAGAGCTCTTTTAATTGGACTTGGTTATTCAAAGTGGTGTACTTAACCAGGAACACCTAACCCTAGCTACTGTGTCGTGATCAGTTGCATGAAACTTTTACAGTTAGGTTCTCAGAGACCAAATAGGTTTATTAGCAGCAGCAGTTCCATGCTGACTACCTGTTGTAATCTGTCTAAAATTTTATCACACTGTGAAAATGCACCTAGATAGCCTTTTAAGTTTGAATGAATAAGCTAAACTGGCTGATTCAACGCTTAATTTGGTCAAGTGAGTTCTAATTTTGCCTTCTCTAGTCTTGATGTATTTGAAGGCGGGCTGGTGCAAGCGGTAGAGTCTTACCACTTTGTGACCGGAAGGTCCCGGTTCGAGTCATGGTCTCCTCGCATTGCATAGGCGAGGTAAGGCTTGCTGCGACACCCTTCCCTGCACCCCGCGCAGGCAGGAGCTCTCTGACCGGTACGCCTTTTTAGTCTTGATGTATTTAATTGCAAGAGCAGGGTGAAATATGAGTATTAATTAATGGAACATAACATACTATAGTTATGAAAGAGTCTACGTATCTTGTTTTGGAACTGGTTAGCTAGAGCTATTAAACTTTTCACGCTTTAATATATTTATGAGATGAATGTCCGCTGTAAGTTTATCATTCGATAGTTTGTATGATAAATAAAATCAATACAACCTATGTTAGCATTTTCATCGTTGTATTGATATAACTTTGAATGTTACTAGCCACTCTGAATCATATTTAGAAGCAATGCATTAATGACGTTTAGAAGAACTGTTGTCTCTATATTTTATCTCTTCCTGTCAATATCCACAATTTGCTGCTTAAAATAGAAGACAAAACCCTTCAGTTTCCTCTTAGAATATTCGGTTATGTGTCCAGAAGGTTGCTATGGGTCTGATTGGTTAAGCAATTAACGCCTTTTCTTCATTGATTGAAATGTGGACCCATGTTGTTAAAAATATAATGGACCCATTAATGTCTTTTGTTTGTTAATATAGGCTCTAAAATCTAAATGAATGTGTGGTACACCAGTACTTGTAATAAGGTGTTTGGTTACTATATCACGGGCACTATGATCTAATTTTTAACTTTACTGAAATTCTCTGAGTTAACATTGTCTGCAATGTATTTACGTGAATGGTTTAAATAACCCATAACCTTCAAAATAGTTCTTTCATTGGTCATTTGCTCTATATGGCATATAGCCATATAGGTCTTTCTTGTTTACTGATGTCTGTCACAAAGATGATTGTTTTATTGTTTCTCTCACTGTGCTCATTTATGTTAATTTCAGACCGAGTGGACAAGGGAAGAGGATGAGAAGTTACTTCATCTTGCTAAACTCATGCCTACTCAGTGGAGGACAATTGCACCTATTGTAGGTCGAACACCATCTCAGTGTCTTGAACGTTATGAAAAACTGCTTGATGCTGCATGTGCGAAGGATGAAAATTATGAGGCTAATGATGATCCTAGGAAGCTGCGGCCTGGCGAGATTGACCCAAACCCTGAGTCAAAGCCTGCACGTCCTGATCCTGTTGATATGGATGAAGATGAAAAAGAAATGCTTTCTGAGGCTAGGGCCCGCTTAGCTAACACTAGGGGTAAAAAGGCCAAACGCGAAGGCAAGGGAGAAACAACTTGAAGAGGCAAGACGGCTTGCCTCACTACAAAAAAAGGAGAAATTGAAGGCGGCTGGTATTGATACACGCCACAGAAAAAGAAAGAGAAAGGGGATTGACTACAATGCTGAGATCCCATTTGAAAAGAGACCACCTTCAGGTTTTTATGATACTGTTGGTGAAGACAGGCCACTTGAACATGTACAGTTTCCAACAACCATTGAGGAGCTTGAAGGGAAGAGAAGAGCAGATATAGAGGCACAATTAAGAAAACAAGATATCGCCAGGAACAAGATCCTGCAGCGACAGGATGCCCCTGCTGCTATAATGCAAGCAAATAAACTAAATGATCCAGAAGCTGTCACAAAGAGGTCAAAGCTAATGCTGCCGCCTCCCCAAATTTCTGACCATGAGTTAGAGGAGATAGCAAAGATGGGCAATGCTGGTGATCCTGCTTTAGCTGATGAGCTTGGTGAAGGAAGTACTGCCACAAAAACCTTGCTTGCCAGCTATTCTCAGACTCCAAGGCTTGGTATGACACCATTGCGAACTCCGCAGCGAACTCCAGCTGGGAAAGGTGATGCAATTATGATGGAGGCAGAAAATCTTGCACGTCTTAGAGAATCACAAACACCTCTATTAGGAGGTGACAACCCAGAGCTTCATCCATCAGATTTCTCTGGTGTTACACCACGTAAGAAGGAGATACAGACTCCAAATCCAATGGCAACACCTTTGGCAAGCCCTGGCCCTGGTATTACTCCAAGGATTGGTATGACACCATCCAGAGAGGGGCACAGCTTTGGTTTAACACCGAGAGGAACTCCTTTTCGTGATGAACTTCGTATAAATGAAGAGGTGGAAATGCAGGACAGCACTAAACTTGAGCTTCGTAGGCAAGCTGAACTGAGGAAAAGCCTGCGATCTAGTTTTGCTTCTATTCCACAGCCAAAGAATGAGTACCAGATAGTCATGCCACCTATTACGGAGGATGAGAAAGAAGAAGCTGAAGAGAAAATTGAAGAGGACATGTCAGACAGACTGGCACGAGAAAGGACTGAGGAACAAGCTAGGCTTGAGGCATTGCTCAGAAAGAGATCCAAAGTGTTGCAGAGAAGTCTGCCTAGGCCACCGGCTGCTTCAGTAGAGATTAGACGGCAATCTCTTATTAGAAGTGGAGAAAACAGAAGCAGAAGCACCTTTGTGCCTCCTACATCACTTGAACAAGCTGATGAACTAATAAATGAGGAGCTCTTTAGGCTTCTTGAGCATGATAATGCAAAATATCCTCTTGATGAAAAAACTCAAAAAGAGAAAAAGAAAGGAAGCAAGCGTCAGCAAAATGGAGGACCCCTTGTCCCTGAAATTGATGATTTTGATGAAGATGAACTAAAAGAGGTGCTATTCTTTTTCTCCATCCTCCTATATTTGTATTAGAATATTCATGATGAACTGTATCTCCTCTTTCCTGATAGTTTTGTCATTTTTTAATTAGACCCACCACATGCACAGTTCACGGAACTATTTAGGTGGACAAATAGTAACTTGAGAACCTATGTGCACATCTTCCTGTATCTCACTGACATGATACATAGAAGCAGTAGAAATCTATTTGCTGTTTGCAGCCGCAGCTGCAGCTGCAGCTGCAAAAATCTGCAGCGAGCACAGCCATTCTTTAAGACATGAGTTTTACAATTAGAATCTTCTCTTCGAGTGCAGACGATTAGAATTGTCGATGTGTGAATTAGAACTGTCATTTTTATGGCATTCAACTTTGCACACTAGAGTACTCACTGCAATGTTGTCAACTAGTTTGAGCTTTGCATTCTAGTTTTCATAAATCTCCTACAACATACATACATGTACCTGAGTTGAAATTCATGCCAATAACACTAAATTGGACATTTCAATGGCTAAAAGAAATAGAGATTAGAGACCACAATACAATAATGCATAATCTACAACCATGGTAGTTATCGAACCATTTATAGTGCGTCACTTCGTATGATCCTTCATTTTGATTGTTTTTTTTTTCTTATTCTATGACCAGTCCTCTATGGTTATTGCAGTTATGTAATGATGGAATAAGTTGTTTAAATAGCCTTATTTTTTTTAATTGGCAGGCTAGTTCTATGGTTGAAGAGGAGATTCAATACCTTCGAGTTGCCATGGGTCATGAAAATGAATCGTTTGAGGACTTCGTGAAAGCACATGATGCATGCCAAGAGGACCTTATGTTTTTTCCTACCAACAATAGCTATGGTTTAGCTAGTGTTGCTGGAAATGCAGATAAGATTTCTGCTTTGCAAAATGAGTTTGAAACTGTGAAGAAGCGAATGGATGATGAAGCTAAGAAGGCTTCTCGGCTTGAGCAGAAGATTAAGCTTCTGACACAAGGATATCAGGTAAACTTGGCATGGTACATCATCTACAATCAAGATCATCTATATTAACTGGATTTAAGCATTGTCATATAGCATGTCTTCTTTAGAGTTCTCTTTATTTGGTTTCTGTATTCTTCTCTTTTGTCTGCCCCATTTTTTGGATTGTAATCAAATAATGGTCCCTGTTGAAGCCAGCCTGGAAAATTGAATATGATAGACACTGGGTTGCTGCAAACTAGTATTGTTAGCTCTTGCTGTTTGCCTGACTGAATTTGCTCCCTATCCATTGAAACATTGGTTGACAATATCCTATTTGAGTGCTAATGTTTTGCTAACCTGCTGTTTGCTTTTTATTAGGTACGGGCTGGAAAAATGTGGTCACAGGTCCAAGATACATTCAGGCAGATGGACACTGTTGCAACAGAACTCGAATGCTTCCAAGAGCTGCAGAAACAGGAACATCTTGCTGCTTCATATCGAATCCTAAATTTGACTGAAGAAGTGAATAAACAGAAAGCCCTAGAAAGGACCCTCCAGAGCCGCTATGGTCAGCTGGTTTCTGGTTTCCAGAGGATCCAAGAACAGCTTGAGGAGCACAAGAAGCGACTCAAGGTACAGGAGGTAATAGAAGCCGAAAATCGTGCTCATGAAGAGGAAGTTGCGGCACCGAATCATGCTGCTGAGGAAGAGGATGAAAGGAAGCCTCTCAGCTCTGAAGAGAAATCACAGCAAACAAGTAGAGCTACTGATGAAGAAGCTGCAGGAAGCAAGGGAACCACCAAAGATCAAATGGATGTGGACAGCGGGAATGGAGACGGAGTCGTAGGCCCTATCCCACCAACACCAAACACTGAAGGGGATAATGATGAAGTATCAATTCAGGATAACACTTCTAACACTCGGAGTAGTGACTGTACCTCCACGAAGGATGGGGCTGACAAGATCAATCAAGTCAAGTTAGGAGGTCAGGATAAAGAAGATGACAATATGGCTGTTGATGCTGGCCCTCGGGAAGAGGGCAAGGATGAACTTGCACCTGTTGGTGCCAGCATAAGTGAAGAAAACACCACTGTATCTTCGGATCAAGATGTCTCAAAGGATGGTGAAGGCATGGCTCCTGAATGAAATATTGTTTGATGACTACTCCAGGTCTCCAGCAGCAGTACTCTAAGGTCGGCTACGGTACGGTTGATGATGAAGCCGAGTACTAAAACAGTGCCGTGTGCTGCTTCCGTCTTCATCTTCCATCCATGGATGGTACACGACACCAGCCACTTCTTTGTTTTTATACAAGGTGGCAAGTAGTACAAGATGCACAATTTTCACCCCGTCTCATTCAGTAGTATCTTTTACCTCGCTGTTGGAGAGAAGAGGGCTAGGAAAGGCTGCGTGTGCATGGCATCCTAGATTTTATTTCAGAATTGAGATGGTAGTACGAGTACATGCAAATTGATTGGCTGATCAGGGATTTTAAATTCTGGGAGTAGTACAGTTCGCAGCGTTTGGAATAATTGGCTCAGTTGGTTAGCAAGCTTAAAAGAGAGGGTGATGAATGGATAATAAGAGTTTGTGCGGGCGCGATTTACATCTGCTCCATTACGAGTGGTTTTTTTTTACATAGCGGAGAGATAGTTCCTTTGTAGGGCCCGATTGGTGGAGATTTAGCCAGCTCCAGCTCTTTTGGGCACTATAGAAAAAAGTTGTTTTTATCTTTCCTTGACAAAATAAATTACGAACCGGTTTATAAGAAGGAAATATGGTGCACCTGGAAAAAATAAAATCCGAACACACATTCCCTTGAACAAGACCCAAGATCCATGACAAGCCCAGCAGCACGAGAGGTAGAGAGAAAGTAACGTGAGTGCAATAATCATGGATGCCTTTTTGGGCTGTGGTGGCTTTGGCGTTGCCTGGCCTGGCCGGCTGCTCCAACCAGGCTTTGGACCTCATGGACTGTCTAGAGATGAACGAGCGCAAATGGGGCCCACTTCAGCGTTGGTCCTATGGATTCCTCAAAAAAAACTATGGTTCTATGGGCCTTCAAACTGTTAGACTGACCAATTCTCGATGAGCCTGTCATAAGCAGCACTAGATTCAATCTCAACACTTTACATCTTTATTAGTACTCCGACAATGGTGTTATTTTCTTTAAAAAAAAAATTGACCTAAGACGAGGTAGCTCAACTGCTGCAGGCTATTTATGCAACTCCATGTGAATGGAACCTACTCCTACCACTGTTGTTGAATGCATAGCAGATTATTAGCAGTAGACCTCTTTGGTCACGAGTCGTAGGTTCGGTTGCGAAGGACTAGCACGCGAAAAAGTGACCACGGATCTTGAAATAAACAGGACTTGATTCGCTGTTGGCTGTTGTTGTGCCCTTTTTCTTCAGACATTTGCATCTACAAGTCTTGTGCTTACGTTATAGAAGGCACCCGTCAAATAAATTCTCAGGATCCTCAAGGAAGGCACAGGTAAAGCAAACACAAGTGGCCGAACAGAGCCAATTGATTGCGGAACAGATGCAGCTCCCTGTTGTTGCATTTGAAGGCAACATGATCCCCTCACGCACTGGCACTGTGGTGAAGAGTTGCTAATGGTGGATTGGTGGTATACCGATCGAGATGCTTGCATGCTGCAGCTGCTGTAGGCAATTGCCACTGACACACACAATGGCACACCCTTCTTATTCTTCTTCTTCTTCTTCCCACCTCCTGCTGGCTTGGAGAGTTGTTGAGTCGCCTTCATGTGCCTTCATTTCATGCTGGAGTGCTGGTCGATCTATCACAGTATTACTGCTGCGACAAATGAAGAAGGGAATGGATTAATGGACAGCGAGTGCAGTGGTTCAGTTGCTGCAGGGTACAGCTTGCACTTGTAGGCAACCTACCTATTCCGACGGTGTCCTCCGATGCGGTCATGCAGAGGAAGCCTCTTCTTCGACTCCATCGGCACCTTATTTTCCTCTGCTCCGATACTAGCTCGTGCACCACTCTACCCTACCCTACCCCATGTTATCATCCGTCGCCCAATGGGCAATGGACCATGGGGTTTGTTGTCCTTGGGCTTGGTTCTCACTGATCCACCACATGCATGGGTCATGCATGGGCGCTTGTTGGGCAGTGCCACCTGTGTGCCGTGCTTGGAGTACGTGATCGCTCTCTCCCTCACCAGAAGACACCGATCCCAATCCCGTGCGGATGGAGCAGGTGCCAAGAGAGCGACGTCTCATGCATGGTCAGCAGCATTCAGCTCCAGCAAGCACCAACAAATTAGAGTTCCCCTTGGAGCATCTTGTTGGGTTTAGGCCTGCACGCAAGCTATTTTTTGCAGAATATATGTATGTGTGTGTGTGTGTGTGTGTGTATAACACAAAAGTGTCAAAGTTGATCCCCATAGGGCTAGAAAACTCAAAGGACAGTAATCCCAACTTGTATATTTATAAGTACTACTATATATATATATATATATATATATATATATATATATATATATATATATATATATATATATATATATATATATATATATATATATATATATATATATATATCCACTAGTATCTTTTGCAGCTGATGATCATTTGACTGATGATTAACAAGCAGCAAGCAAATGGCCCCCCACCCCCAGGCCAGACGACACACATGACACAGCCTATATATCCTATCATTGGGCCATCGATGGACGCAACAAATTTTCAATCTGTCCGTCGTCGTCCTCCTACTCCATGCGTGGGTAGCGTCTCCGGGAGGACTAGCAGCTGGCGGGCGCCATTTCCTGGTCTGTTGTTGTACCCCCGGTGGAGTTTTCTAGTCTAGTATATGGCGGATGAGTCATCACTCGTCAGACGAGAGAAGATGCCGTGCTCGTGCTGGGCAGTTGTTAGCGAGCCAAGCAAGCAGCTGTACGTACAGTGCCCGTAACCGCTGCGTCCTTGCTTGCTGTTGCTGAATGCTGATGAATGGCCCAACGAGGCAAGGCAGCTAGCTACTCGTAGAAGCTAGGGCATGCAGTAGCAGGAGGACTGGAGGAGGAGGAGGCAGGACCTGGACCGACCATGCCCATGATCCATGGATTTTTTGGGTTGGGCCTTGTTTAGATTCCAAGTTTTTTCATTCTCTCTATTACATCAAATCTTTGATACATGTATGGAGTATTAAATATAGATAAAAAAATAACTAATTATACAGTTTAATTGTAAATTACGAGACGAATCTTTTGAGCCTAGTTAGGCCATAATTAAATAATAATTATCAAATACAAACAAAAATAATACAGTGTCAAATACTGATTCGTAACCGTTATCTAACCATGGCCTTGACTTGGCTGGGCACGAAAGGGAAAGGACTGACCGGAGGACGGAGCCATGCCATGCCATCTTCCATGCATGGTTGACATTTGACGAGACGGTGACGGGGTGACGAGCCGGTGATGGGATGGAGGGATTTGGTCTTGGGAAAGGGCGCAAGCAACCCACGCAGCGCTGGCAGCGGCAGACTGCCTTCGCCTTGGAAAAGAGAGCGGCCGGGGGGCGCGAGGTGGTAGCGTCTGGTAACGGGCAATGGCGACCCCGGCCCCTGCCCTGGCTGCTGTGGGACGACAGTGTGGGCGTGCCGTGAGCGACTTCCCAAGATCTTTCGGTTGGGGGCCGCCGGCCGGGGAAAGCAGCGGCGCCAGCGCACCGCACGGCGTCCGCACCGTGAATCAGTGACTGACGCCACGCCGTGAGTCCGTGACTATAAATGTCCATGCAACATGAGGCACGAAGGTATGGCACGAAGCCCGCTTTTTTAGCCCGACACGAGCACGGCATAGCCCGGTGACATGCGGGCCCCGGCTGGCCCGGCCCGAGGTAGCAGGCCGTGCTTGGGCCGCTGCTCAGGACCGTGGGCTGGCACGGCACGCCCGCCTGCGCCACCGGCCCAAAGAGCGGCCCGCCACCCCACCCCCCCCCTCCTCACTCCACCTCTCTCTCCTGGCCCAGCCCAGGGTCGGCCCACCATCCCCGCCTCCCCCCCTCCTCAAATATAAGACGCACGCCCAGCTCGGCCGTGGCTCTCCCATGAGCCCCACGCTCCCGCCGCTCCCGATCCTCCCAACCCCAACCCTAACTCCTTCCCCTTCCCCTCCCCTCCACGCCGGCCGCCCATGATCCCCTCCCCGCGCCCGCAAGCCAACCAACCGCACGCCTCATCTTCCTCCCGCGACCTTGGTGGACGGCCTCTCCTCCCTCACGGCCTCCCGGCGGGCGGCGATGTGCAGATGTCGAAGCGCTATTGCGGCGGCGTCGAGCTCGGCAGCAGCAGCAGCGTCTAGCGGGCGGCCTCCTCCATCCTCCATGGATCCCGCCTCATCCATCCTCCTCCTGGCTCCTGCCGCCGGATCCGGCGATCGCCGCCAGCCCGCCACCTCCCGCGACTCGAGCAGCTTGCGCCGACGGCCTCCCCTCCCCCGCCTCGCTCTCTCTCTTTCTCTTCTCCTCCTGGCCACCCACTGTCGTTGCAGCCGCCGTTGCATCACGCAGCTGATCTGAGGACCTCGTCTCCTCCGTCCTCTCTTCCTTCCCCTGCTGATGCGGGCCTCGGGCCGGGCTGGCCTGTTAAAAAGGTCGTGCTTTCCGAGCCGGCCCGGCACGGAAAGTGGCCCGACGGGCCGTGCCTGGGCCGTCGGCTAGGCACGGTGGACTGGGGCGGCACGGCCCGGCGGCCCGTCGTGCTCTGCCGTGCCGTGCCCTACCGGGCCGGTGAAAGGGTCGAGATGGCGACTAGAGGGGGGTGAATAGTCCTTTTTAAAACTCAATCGCGTCGGCTAACTCGAAACAAGTGCGGAATTAAAACTATCGGTCTAGCCAAGATTACACCCCTCTATCTATGTTCTTTAACACCTTTTAAATATACTAATTAAGCAATTAAGGTGCAGGGCTAGCTAGAGCTCAACTAAGCAATTTTAGGAGCAAGGTCACACAAACCTATGCCACTAGTACTTTAAGCGACAAGAGAGCTCCTACACATGCTAGTAAGCAAAAGAACAAAGCCACCTAAGGGGACTTAGTGTCCATGCTTGTGAGTGCTTGGGAGCCCTCCATCACACATATACTTGATAGTGATTATTCGATTGTGTGAGT